ACATCACACATGATTGTATCTACCTCCCCCCCCCGCACATCACACATGAGTGTGTAGCATAGAAGTTACACAAAGTTTGAATGAGAGAATTTAGAGTCGAATAAATCAAAGGCGAAGTATAAATGTTGTGTTCACTGAAAGAATATATTATTTACAACTGCTACAGGTCCATATACACGCTAGTCGAATCCAATCTCCAAGTCTCCATCTTACACAAAGAGACAAAGAAACGCGCACACGTGCATAAGCGCGTGTGCTTCCTTCTGCGACCACAACCACACTCCCTCCTACATCTCTCTACTCGATCTGCACCCCTATTTCACAATGACTCTAGAAACTGCCTAACCTAAAAACACGCTTATCCAATTCCTTATAACAGCAATGCAGCCGCACAAGATGCGCGACGCTGTGTCTAGATAGAAACTATTACTAAAACAACCCCTAGTCTAACTCTACTGAATGCTCTATGTACATCTGTAAAACACATGTTACAATTGTATCTCCTTCAGGAACCAACAAGAGGAGGAACTGAGAGAGAACCACCCTTTCTTCGACACGCCTCTCTACATTGTCGGGCGAGAAAGCCGCTTCCGCCTTATCTGTAAGATTATCGTCAACGCACGCTACAAGGCCGTGAAACGCGATCCATCCACCGGCATGGAGATCAAGAGTAAATACAAGCAGCTGCAGTAAGTGAGGCCACAATTAAAAAAATATTTGTTTTCCCTCACCCGACCCAGGCTGAAAAGTTTGGGTAGGTAGGTCGGCTTTTTTTTTAGGGCGGGGGTCTTACAAGTTCAGCATGGTGTCTACATGCCCGGGTGTGCTTGTGTGGAGATACCTTTTATGTTGAATGTTTGTTTTGCTTGGAAAATATAATGTATTGCCTACAGATTTATATAATGTACAGTGATACCATTTGATTTAAAAAAAAGAAAAAAAGAAGATCAATAAATTTTTTTTGAGTCGAGGCCTCTTTTTGGCGGGTCGGTCGGGTGAGGGCAAACAAACAATATTTTTATCATGGCTTGAACGGTGGCGCCCCCACATGTACACGCGCGTCTACCACACTCTTGTGTGTGTCCGCCGCAGAGTGCGACCGTCCAGCCGTAGGATGTACAGCTGGGTTTATTTTTGCGGAATCTCAGCAGAGACCGTCGGGGGTTGCGCGGCTGGCGTTCTCTTGTTCGGAGTGCCGTTCTCTTAGTTGTGACGAGCGGGTCCGGAGTCATTGTCACCAAATTGGGCATTTGAGCACGCGCAGGTATTAACCAAGTGAACACTTCTCTGAAAAGGCGCTGGGGAGGTTTTCAGGGGAGGGCTGGGATTCTGAGCGATAAAGCGTTCGCATGTTCACGGCTTCTGCTGTTTTGAGTGCCGCGTGGGTCTGCGCGTTTCCTTTTAGGATTTCCCCACCTTTCAATGCACCATACCTTGTCTTCTTGCACTGATGTGCTGCGCTGAAAGTGATTATGTCACCGTAAAGAATAAAACAAACAACAAATATTTCCACTTTTTCACAGAATGTAAGTAATTATGTTCACTTTTTATGGTTAAATTGCTGCATTATACTTCCTATATTCCTATATTGTTCGATGTAAACATACACTCGTGACTCATACATAGCCCATAGCAAGCAATTAATGTCAGGATAATAATATCAAATCGTCCAGGTTTTTTGGCTTTTTAACTAGTTGAGAAACAATCTTATCAGGTAAGAATTTGATGATACATTTAGTCCCGTTAGTACTTGCTTTTAATGTAAAAAAAAGGGCAACAAAAATTTTACAAATTTTACCATAGAAAATTCGTGACGTAGTCAATTGAAGTTTGGTAGACTAGTCTTATTCATTTTTGAAAAGAGAAGCGAATTTGTCAGGGGAACAGTACTGGTCAGCGCATACCAGCAAGGTTTGCAGCTGCACGCAAATATACAGTTTTGTTGAAGTTCTTTGATATTAAAACACAGGCAATCTCGCAAGAAAGGACTGAAAGAGAATTTGATGTAAGTGCAGCACGGTAAAAAAAACGAACACTGCATGAAGCGTTTAGCGTAGGAGCGCGAGAGTATATATAATGCGACACGGTGCGGCGTAGTGGCGTGCGAATGTTCATTAGTGCACTGGTTACAAGTTACTCTGATATAGTCGCGGTAGAGACAGTACGGTATCATTGCCAGGGTAGAGCGTGTGTGTGTATGTGTGCGTGCGCTATGTATATAACTCCATTATAGAGTCAGCCACCATGTGTCCTTGCTACCGTCCCCCCCTGGTATGTGTGCTGCATCATCAATGTTGTATTAGTAGATGTAATCATAGTAGTGGGTGCAGCACAACGTGTAGTGTGTGTCTGTCCACAGGAGACCACCATAGGCTCTAGGCTCATGTGTTGAGGTAGGGTGTTTACGATAAGTCGGAGCAGTCGACAGGGCATAGTGTCACTGGCAGCTTTGCCTCTGTCTGTTGCTTGGCGAAGCGGCCATCTTTGTTTTAACGGTCGGCATGGTAACGACTCCTAGAGAGTTGGTAGACAGCGGGAAGTATTTTGAACTTAGGCTATTGAGCATCTAGCGAGCTCCGTCGGTCTGTGTATCGTAGGTTGTTAGCTGCATTGTAGCGGCGGCGGAAACGTTAGTAGCGAGTGATATTTGCTGAATCGTAGAGAATCGTACATGTTCTCAGCATGGTGACAGGCTCTATGCTGTGACGCCCAACAGATATTACCGCAGATGGGGTCGTTGTCGTATCAGGTACTACATATATGTACCCGAGGTAGTTTTAGGTTGTTTAGTATTATGTTTATATTTTTAGCTCACCTTGACATCGTCAAGATGAGCTATTGCCATGGGTTGTCGTCCGTCGTACGTCTGTTCGTTCTTCCGTCAACATTTGGCTACGGTCAACGATAACTCAGGAACCGTTTGACCCACATGTTTGAAATTGGGTATAGATTACTGCTATGGAAGAGTCGAACGTCCTATTTTGGAGCACACCAGTGACGTACTTTCGAGCCACCGCCAAATTTTTTGGCAAAAATGGAAATTGCCATTAGTCAGTTCAGGTTCAACGGCGATTTTGCCTCATTTTTGCGTATGTGAATGAATAAGGCGCTGCCCAAAAAAACGTATTTACAGGGCGTGTTTGATATTTTAAAAAAAATTATGCCAAATTAGGGTAGGTTTTGCCAATTATAAGCGCATGATATATAGACACGCAGATTACAGTCTGGTGGTGTTCACACTCGTCTGGTTCGTTTTACAAGATTTCATTGACAATATCTTTAATGCAAAATTGGTATTTCCTCTCCACCCTGCCGATAAAACGTCTATATTAGAGTAAAGTTTTACAAAACATGTCGGAACGCAGCATAACCTATTTATTTCGAACACCATCGCTAAGAAACATCAAAGCGGGTATAGCGCCATCTCCCATCACAAATTGTGATATATTTTGGTTTATAAATTATTATTGCGATATACAGATGGCAACCGTGTGCTACCGCCTAGAAAAACTCATACGAAGTAAACACTTCCATGCAACCAATTAACCTTTGACAAAAGTGTATGGGCAGTGAAACACCATTGTCACGTGGTATATAGCAGCTACGTGGAATAAGCGTATCCTCTCAATCTTATTTGTGGTGAGCTACAGTGTCACTGACACTATCATTATATGAGGTATGTTTAGGGTTAGGGTTAGTGTTAGGGTTAGGGTTAGGGTACACTTCTGTAGTACACGTCTGGTACACTTTGTGTATACATATATGTACCTCGGGTACATATCTGTAGTACATGATACGACAACGACCCCTTGAGCGTTATGACTGTAGCTCAGACGTGCTGTCATCCACCTTTGCTTGCAACGTCCCTGCTAAGCTGTGTCTGTCTAACCTGCACCCATCGTCTTCGCAGTAGGAGCGTACTTTTATATAACACGGCATTTAACAATGATTAATAATAATTTAATAATTGTACGTGATAGGGTAGGGTAGTCTGTGTGTATAGAGGAAGTCACTCACTGCTAGTCCGCGCAAGATTGCTACGCGGTCCGCTTCCTATCGAGAGACATATGAGTGTTGTTGCTGGCCGTTAATTTACGAGCAAAACGCTTCACATTTGCATTATTAAGTCGCACGTTGGAATCGGAATTTGGTCGCACGTGTGCCGAATTTTACACCATTTGTTTAGCTGGTCTACTGTTGTGATATTCTTCAGTGAGTGCAACATTGCATCTAGTTGTGGCATCGTACGGAAATTTTTCACGTAATTTTTTGTATGTATCATCGTCAGCAATAGGTTGCGCTGTGTAATGTGGCAAAAAAACGAGAACGTTTTTCTTCGATGAGATCAGAGTAGCACGGAGATCCGGCAATGCCACACATTCCATTGTCGTTGAGAGTGAATCACTATAGTTTCCTCGTTGTGATGATCCAATGACAAATACTCACTGCCATCTGTAACGTTGCCATGTAGTATTTCGTTGCCATGTCTAACGTTTCTGTCTGTATTTTATTGTGTGTACTGTTGTCGTCAGTAACCTTGCCATATGTATCATTGCCATACATAGAATTTTCATCACTAATCGTGTGTAGTGTTGCCATCAGTAACCTTGCCATAT